AGGACCTTTCCTTTCAATACTGAAGGTATCAATAACTTAGGTAATTAAATTAACTCAAAAGTTGAATTATTTAACAAATAATTAATTTATAACGAAAAATTCATTATTTACAATCTTTAATAATATTAGAATTGCTCTATTTACTTCTTTATTATAATTAAAAAATTGAAATGAAATTGTTTGGTAAAAATTACAATATTGAAAACCTGAAGATTCTAACTTTTACTATGGAAAGTTAAAAAGTAAAATTACCAATTTTGGTGGCAGTAATTTTGTTAAGATAAATGGTGCTTGTTAATGTAGGGCAATTATATAGAGACGCTTCAATAAAAGAGTTTTGAAGCATTGATCAGACCATTACATCTAAATTTTATATTCTTTTTATTAGTTTAGAGCAATTGCTTGTAACTTAAGATTATCTTTATTTTTGATAAATCATTTTCATGTTTTCGTTCCAACCCTAAACATTAAATGATAATTGTGTTATAATGTCTAAGTAATTATTCCCCATATTAGACTGATCATATATTTTTTAAAAATGTAAGGAAAAATATATCCATTTTATAAAAAATAAATAAATAAGTGTAAAAATAGGTTAGTAATTAACAATTATTTAATCTTACTCTAAATAATTAATTTCAGTAACACAGAAAATTTAAAATAAATATAGTCAAAATCTTTAATAATAATTATGTGGCTTATTGTATTAAGTTCTTCAGGGTAATATGAAATAAAGTTTTTCATTGAAGCCTATCAACTTGAATATTAAAGAGTTCCTGTTTCTAATGGTTTAATTTTTTCTCTGATGAACCCTCAGTAATGCTAGAATATGTTATGAAACATTAAAAAAAACTGAAAAATGATAACCAAATAACTTGGTAGAAAATTATCGAAATAAAGATCGATTCATATTAAATAATGATCAATTATAATGTTTATTGATTATTATTATTTTTTAATATTTTTAATATTATAATTTTCTTGATATAGTCGAAAACAATCTCAGTCATAATTTACCGTGAGTTGCAAAATTCAATTTTATTTTGCCTTTCTAAAAGTCAAGTCGCTTTATTTAAAAGCAAACTTGAGTTAAACTTTGTTTATTCATTTTTATTTAAAATATTTTAACTTCTGATTTTTGTACTCTTTTTTCTAT